TACCGACGATGAACTTATTCAAACCATGGAAAATTAAGGGCGAAAACCAAGCATCCTTCACAAAAAGTCGATATGCACAGAAAGGCACGACAAGCACACAGCTTGTGTTTTGTTGAAGAAACGGACCTTTTGGTTTTTCCCTTACAAAGTTGCACGAGCAGTGTAAAACGCACAGAAGCTGAACTGCAAAGAACGGTTCACAAACACATGGTCCCATGGACAGGGATAGGAGGTGTGGCGAAGGCGACCTAAGGAGCTGTGGGTCTGCGGCGGCTCTGAGGCCGAAGGAAGAGGGCAAGGTATGTATGTGTGTCCGGTAGGTGGGTCGGCAGAGACCACTAAATTCCTCGAGTGAAAATTAACACCCAAAGCCCTCGAATCCTGACCTTTCAACCCTGAATGCGGAAGCCACAATCCAAACTCAGATCCCTGAAGCCATGATCCAAACCCCTACAACTCTGCTGAGAGGTTCTTCCGGTCTCTGGAAGAAGGCGACCTCCTCTCTGCTGCTTGAGCTGCATGGTGTAGGGTTTCGTGTTTAGGGAATTGGTGACCAGTTCGGATGTTGAGCTTGGGATTGAAGCTTAGGATGTAAAGAAACTGTTTGGGCTAGGACTGGCGGTGTTGAGTTTGGGAACTTGATGCCTCAAGTCATATTTCCCGTAGTCAGCTGTGTTGTAAGACCTGGTTCTTTATTTCCGTATATATGTATGTATAAATTTCTACACATGCATGCATGCATACATACACGGATACAGACACACATGTGTGCCTGCATGCCTTCCTACTTATATATCTTCACAGATACGTACGCATGTAGAAGCCCGTGAGACCTTACAGTTACATGGTCACACATAGAAATTTGTAGGTATGCATGCAACGATGTAATTTGTGTGTACATATACATATATACATACGTACAAGGATAGAGAGAGAGAGAGAGTGAGAAACCTATACATTGTCACAAGAAGCCACCAATATCGATCCTGTAAGACAGCGTCAAGAAACTTAAGCCCTGACACGCCGACAGCTCTTTCAGGTCATCCTTCCCCACCTCAAGACGAAGGCCGCCAGCATGCCTCCCTCGGCGCAGAAGGCTCCACTTTGGGACTTGAGCAGGCTCTTGATACTCAGGGCTGCCTTGGCTCTAGAGTTCTTTATAATCCGAACAACCCTACATCCAACACACCCGAAGCCCCAAACCCCAAGGCCTACAAACCCCAGGCCTTCAAAGCCCAAGGCCCAAACCCGAAACCCTAAACTTTAACCCCAAGCCTAAACCCTAAACCTTACAGGAGTCCTAAACCCTAAACCCAACAAAAGCCCGAAACCCAAACTTCAAGCCCTAAGCCCTAATCTAACCCCAGAAGAACCCTAAACCCTAAACCCAAACAAAGCCCTAAACCCAAACCCCAAGCCCTAAGCCCTAATTAAACCCCAAAATAATCCTAAACCCTAAACCCAACAAAAGCCTTAAACCCAAACCCCAAGCCCTATAGACCCTAATTAAACCCCAAAAGAACCCTAAACCCTAAACCCAACCAAAAGCCCTAAACCCTAACCCCAAGCCCGAAGCCCTAATTTAACCCCAACAAAACCCTAAACCCTAAACCCACCAAAAGCCCTAAACCCTTCCCTTAATTTAACCCCAAAAGAACCCTAAACCTTAAACCCAACAATAGAACCCTAAAGCCTAACCCTAAACCCTAATTAAACCCCAAAAGAACCCTAAACCTTAAACCCAATAATAGAACCCTAAAGCCTAAACCTAAACCCTAATTAAACCCCAAAAGAACCCTAAACCTTAAACCCAATAATAGAACCCTAAAGCCTAACCCTAAACCCTAATTAAACCCCAAAAGAACCCTAAACCTTAAACCCAACAGTAGAACCCTAAAGCCTAACCCCAAGCCTAAACCCTAAACCTTACTACAAGAACCCTAAACCCTAAACCCCAACAAAAAGCCCAAAACCCAAAACTCCAAAGAACCCTAAACCCTAAACCTTACTACTACAAGAAGCCTAAACCCTGAACCCAACCCTTTCCCGATTCTGCCGAGCCCTTCGGCCAGGTTCTGGGGCTCCTCAGCGCACGCTGCCTCGCGGCGCGCCAGGGCTCTTCGGTCCAGGTGCCCTTGTTTTTTTGGGGTTTAGGTGTTGAGGGTATAGGGTTTAGGGTTTAGGAAATGGGGTTTAGGGTATAGGATATAGGGTTTAGGGTTTAGGATACAGGGTTTAGGATTTAGGATATAGTGTTTAGGGTTTAGGATATAGTGTTTAGGGTTTAGGATATAGGGTTTAGGGTTTAGGATATAGGGTTTAGGGTTTACGGTTGAGGGTATAGGGACGGGTTTTGTTGTAGTGCTCCGATTGGTTTCGGGTTTCACTTGATTTCAATAGCCGAAGGAAACTCACACCTCCAAAACTAGTCGGAATATTCCCTCGCAGATACGTCTTGAGCATCTCCGCCAATCTAACACCCCTAAGCCCGATCCCCAAAAACCATCAAGCCCCAAACCATCAGCCCCGACCTCGACAACTAGCCTTTCACCCCAAACCCCTTTTTAGTCCCCATCCTCACTCAGCCCACTACCCCAAAGCACTCAAGCTTTGTAACATTGAAGCCTTGCCCATAGGCTCCCAAGTAGTTCCTTTTTATGGCTCATAATTATTTAGAATCCTATAAGGTAATCCCAAAAAGGAACTATTAAGGAGCCTATGGGTACCATGGGTAGGCCCTCGAGCCAGAACGCCCCAAATCCCGACAGCCCTAGAACAGCCCTAAGCCCAGACCCGCCAGAGCCCTCGACCCAGGACCCTGCAACCCCAAACCCTCAACCCACAAACCCCAAACGCGAAATGCCCAAAGCCCTGAACATAAAACAAAAACTCGACACTTCAAGAGCTAGGTTTCTCTAAGCCCTACGTGCTGAGCCTTTAAAAAAACGACGTTTGTCGAGGTGGAGCTTCCTGAGAACTTGAATGCCGTCCTGGCGCCGGGGCTGCTCTAAGAGTGCGAGCACAGGGTTCAAAGGAAGGTCTAAGGGGGGGTAAACGACGCTCTAGCATTCTTGTTCTTTTAGGCTAGGGGCTTGGAGTCGATGGATTTATATACTTACGGATTGGGAAGTTTAAGGTCCAGAGGGCTTTAGAGCAGGATGCAGGGTTTTGGGAGTTTCACCTTAGCACCTCGGGGGTTTAAGATGTCGATTTTTGTTGGGCTTTTCGGACCTGCAAAGGATGTTTTCTTGTTTCACATTGTACTGAAAGCCATCCTCAGGCCCTCAAACCCTATAAACCCTGAATCTTTAAACCCCAGACCCCGAAAGCCTGAACTCCTCTAAGCCCTCCTTCAAGGAACTATAAGGTTCCTGCCGTGATTGGAGGAGCCACGTCCCAAGACCCTGACCTGCTGTGTTGCAGGATGTCATTATGAACTCCATACGGGGTAAGAGGAGCTCTGCGAAAACAAACACTCTGGAACCCGAAGCCCTCCACCCCACAACCCTAGGTCCCAAAAGCCCTGAAGTTAAAACCCTCAGCCCCAGACCAGAAATCCCCAAACCCTGATAGTTCACGCATAGCCGTCCTCTCAGGAGCACATGAACTTCGCCTGGCTGGTCACCCTCGCGCCCTGCAAGGTCCAAGCCTCAAACTGAAACCCCGAAGCCCAAATATTCACATGGCAGGGGTTTGAAAAAAGCTCAAATGCGGGGTTTCAACATCCAGGAAGGAGAATGTCTCGACGGTGTCTGAGCTCCACAGGTTTTATGGAAGCCGATAAGAACTCCGAAGTCCCATTGTAAACTGAGCCCTTCCGGAAAAGCCAGATCCCAAGCCCACTTGGGTTGCTGCTTCCCCAACCTGGGGCCCTTCCACGCTGATCTCTGATACCTCACCCTTTGGACCATGAGTTCTACACAGGCCAAATTTACGTCCGTCGGAAGTTATACTAGTCACTAGTCATGGTATCCCTTTGGAGAGTTCCTGACTGAAGCCCTAAACCCCTAAGCCGGCTTCTACCTTTAATCCACTGCCAGGACGAGCCGGAGCTTTCGGAGGCCATGGAGGCACTGCGCAGCGACTGCGCCGCGGCATAGGACGGAAGACTGCGTGGCTTTGTCCAACCACCTTCTTAATATGAATTAGTAGTATGTAACTATGTATATATATATAATATATATATATATATACCTGGGAAGGTGAACGCCTGGAAATAAATAGTCGGTTCCCCAAACGCTCACGAACTGGCAAACGCCTGCATTTTACTAGGCACCCTGATGTCTGAAAGAAGGGGTCTCTGAAACACCTTTGGGCTTCAGGGAGGTATCTCTGAGCCCACCCGTTGCTGCCTTGCCAGGGCTCAATTGGATTGGTTTGAAGGCCTTGGGATGCTGGTTTAATTTACATCCTAGAGAAATTGGAATGGGTTAAACCAAAGGATGTTCCAGAATATGCAAGGAGAGTTAGACGTGGGCACTTGAAATTGGACTTTGGGGCTTCTGTTCTGCGTGGAACATGGCGATCTTTACAAGAAAGAGCACTGTTTCCCACCAAACCTCTGTTTATAACAATATTCCCAACCCTAAAACCCTAAACCCTAAACCCGGTAAACCCTAAACCCAGCCTTGTCCTCATGTGCTCTCCTGTGCCTCTACTTCGAAGACTTCCCGAAGGGCCCAGCTGGCATGTTTTCTGCTGCCAAACTTTTTTTTTGTTGCCCGCTGATCACAACAGGTCGATGCGACAGCAGCTAGTGGACGGCGTGATGCGAGCCTGGCGGCGAGGTGCTACCCCCCTGCTCTCTGCCAGCTTCTGTGGGGCTTGCATAACTGCGTGCACTATAGAGCTATAGATTGCAGCATGCATTCACACAGTTGTCATCGCAGTTGGGGTTCAAGGTCAGATACGGTGCATGTGTCATGGCAACACTTGATTTCACCTTGTGCTGCACGGCATGGGACAAGCACCGAGTCCTCCGAAAACGGGCGAAGTCACGAATGACACTGGTGCAGGATACAAAGGAAAGGAGTTATGTGGCCCCAACCCTGTGCAATCTCAAATACAATGTGCCGATCCTGAAACCTCTGACGGAGGAGATGGCACGGGCTGGGCGAATCTCCAAGCCGATTCATCTGATCAAGACGGCTCTTCACAAATTCTACGATATGCAAAGTGAGGAGATGCAGGAGACGCCTGAAACGATGCAGATGAAGCTTCGGAGGGAGAGGAACATAAGCAAGACAGCAAAATCCATTGTAGCCATGCTGACAGTGATCAAACGAAAGTGGACCAAATGGGAGATGCCACGCGAGACATGGATGTTATCATTATTCGTATTGTGATCGATTTCAATTTTTTCACAATCCAGAACCAAAGCACTAGCTAGGATTATTATTGTCCTGTGCATGTCATATAAGGAAAGGGAGATCCGTGACATGGTGTATGACATGGCGAAAGCTGTCTCGAAAGCATACTCGGATACTTGTGGCACAGAGTAGAATGTTTTCGGTTTACAGTGCGCTGATCTATATAAGCTATGCTGTGCAGTGATGCATTGTGTGTGCATTGCCACTCTTGTGTGCATGCTTGCTTGACTGATGCTCTCCCTTGCTCAATTTAGGAAGGCCGCTGTGCGCTAGCCAAAACCAAGAGGTGTGGACCTGCATCCAGTGTTGCCACTGGCGACACTGCTGAAAGTGACATGGACGATGATTCGCTCAGAGCGGATTTGCATGCACTCTCTCGAGGCTCCACTTTGCCGGAGTCTTGCTTGATTGCACCCCCGCAGAAGGCCTTGGAAAAGTTCCTGGGGATTTCATTGGACCCAGAGTTTTACCGGAACCTGACGGGGAAAGTTGATTCGCTTCAGGGCTCGGCCGGTGAACTTCCTGCTCCACCTAGTGAAGTTCGTGCTCCACCTAGTGAAGTTCGTGCTCCACCCAGTGAAGTTCGTGCTCCACCTAGTGAAGTTCCTGCCCCACCTAGTGAAGTTCGTGCCCCACAAGATGATCTTGGTGCAACTTTGGTGGTTGCTGATCCTCTCGAACCCCCGGCCGAAGAGTCGTTGCATGAGGGCACGGTGATCCCAGACACCCCACAGAAGGCTAGCACTCCCTTGTCACCTGGTGAAAGTCCTGGAGTTGAAACTTGCCTTGCATGTATGAGTCTCAAGATGGTCGGTCGCCTGATGCAGTCTTGTGCCGTTTACGTCCTGATTCTTGTTTGGCATTCATCCGTTTGTGTGCATATCAGGAGATTCTATCAGTGAAGCCTGCGGAAGAACCTTCCGATCTGGGTGCGGTGAAAGCTACAGGATTGGCTGGTCAACTTGCGGCTATGGACCCGAGAAAGCTCAAGGAACTCCTGGCTGTGGTGAACAGCAAGTAGCTTGACAGTGCTTGGTAGGTCCGACCTTCAGTGTTGCAAGAGTTTCTGTGTGCTGGATGATGGATTGAGGTTACGGATGGTGCCCAAGGGGATTTCAAACTTCAGTCCGGCGCCGCTTCATGATGATGTTCGTAAGAAGCTCAACTTCGAGGGCTCTTCGGACGGCGAGGGGTCGACATCAGCCGGCAGTGCCCGTTCAGGCAAGATGTGTGAAGCTTCATGTGATTCCAGCTGGTATGCATGTGTAGTGTAACTCATATATTGCAGAAGTAGAACCGATTCATATTCAATTTGGATTGGCAGGCTCCTCTGCTGACCAACTCGAAACGCAGCTTTGGGAGCCTACTCCCGAAGACTCTGTCAATGCGTGGATGCATCAGCACCGCAGTGAAGATGCAGCCAGGGTTGAGGCAGCCCAGGCTCGAGAGAAGGCCCTGGTGGAAGCCCGTGAGGAACAGAATCGTGCTGATGAACTCAAGCAACGAATGCAAAGACGCGAGCAATTGAACATCTCCTTGAGAACTTCGGAACTCGAGGAAGCTGTGGGCAAGCCAGCCACTAAGCTTGAATTGGTTTGCAACACCTTTGTAGGCCTTTTGACCTTGTGATCCTTGTGATTGCCTGGTGTAGATTCGAAAGCATTTCTGCGTGTCAGTACAAATGAATTCAAGTGTACTGGTGTTGTGATCTGAGTCTGCGTCAGTGGTCACGCGCTCATCCCAGCTAGCGTTGACTGCGAGAAAGAAAGATAAAACTGGCCCAGCGGAAGACGTGCCAGTGAAGGAGGCAGCGGAGCCGGAGGACGCCCCAGATGATGACAATCATGGTGAGGACATGGCTGCAGAGGCTGTGGGATCCAGGGGCAAGCCGAAAGCCAAGGTCTTTAAGAAACCAGCGGCGAAGGTGAAGGCCAAAGCCGCGCCAAAGACGAAAGCCAAGGCAAAAGCCAAGGCTGAGTCCAAGCCGAAGGGTGCAGATGACGACAAGGATGAGCCCGAGGAAGATGCTGTGCCCACTGAGACGAGGGGTGTTGCAAAGGTGGGCAGATTCGTGCGAAAGTCCTCCAAGCGCCGATTGATTTGCAAGGGCACGAAGCTTAACAAGAAGAAGAAGAAGATTGCGGCAGAGTCAGCTCCTACGGAGTACTACGACGAGAATGAGTGGCCGGAGGAGGAATGGTCAAAGGAGGAGTGGGACAAATGGGAACAGGAAGCTGATCCTGTGGAGCCTCCTTCGAAAAGGCTCGGGGCAAGAAGCGTGCCGAGGAGGTCGAGGAGGCCGAGGATGCGGGCGACGAGGACGAGGAGAAAATCCCCACGTTTGCCCGGCGGTATTGTGCACAGCGTCCGTTTTTCAAAGCCAAGTTTTTGGGCATCCGAGATGCCTTCAATGCCGGCATCCGCCCGTTCCTTGTCTCGCCAGGCAAGCACGAGGACTTTATAGAGTGTGCACATGTACTGCAATATGTGCTCCAGGTTTTCTTTCAAAACACTAGCTGGGTCGGCTGTTCCTTGCAGGATCCCTTCTGGCGCTTTGTGGCCAAGGCCACTAAGGAGAAACCGGTCCAAGATGCAGATGATTGGCTGGGAGTGGCTCAGAACCTCACTTTTGATTTCTTGCTGACCGATTTTGACAGCATCTTGTCTTGCACGATACTCATGCACTTGTACTCAGCCAGCATGCCTATTCAACTCGATCCATGATGACTCTTCGGGGTAGACCTTCCAAGGCATGACATGGTCTGATGCTGGGGAGAAGTTTTTCCAGGGCAAGAAAAAGCCCGCACGCAGATTGTATGATGCAATGCTTCGAAAGCGTGAACAGGGCGACGCTCACTGATTCATCGAGTGGCTTAAGCGACTTAGCATTTCTTCACAGACTGATGGGGGACCATGGGGAAAGACCCTCCGTCAGTGCTGTGTGGCCTCTGCCGGATAAATCAGCTGGCAGCCAGTATGCACCTCAGAAAGTCTGTGGCTCTAAAGTGTTGTCAACATGCTTGACTGTATGCTGCAAGTACTTCTGCATGCATCCATATATGTACCATCATGACTGATCGGATTCTAACGTGTTGGCTGTATACATGCTGATCTAGACGGGCCAGGATCCTCTTTCAAGCTTGCATCCGTTCCAATGCAGCCCTAGCTCGCACTCAGCTCCCGCACATCCAGTGAAAAAGATCTGGCTGAGTGTTTTGCATGTTACCTTTAGACTCGGACTGCCTGAGCTGCAACTGGTCTTGCATCTTGTAGCTTCGCACATGCAGCTGAGATCCCGCATCCAGAGTAACCGCTCTGACCTCGATGGATCCAATCCACGCCGCAGGTGATGCCTCCACGTCGTGATGCTCCTTCCGATTCTGACACCCTCGAGTCCAGTTCAGGCACGATCCGAAGGGAAGGCGCCGAAATTCTGACATTGTGGCATGCTTACATATCTTGTGCCGGGTCCGACTGCCAAGGCATACTTGTGCTGAAGTTTTGTGGTTTTCAGCTAGCCCGGCCGCACGGGAACATGAGCTTCACTTACCATGCGTGCATCTACATATGTGCATTGCTTTGCCAGAGCAGCTTCAGCTTCCTGCAGAGACGACAAGCCCGCCGGTCCTTGTGTCGCCATGGAGCTGTACCAACTTGTTGAGAACCTGATGAAGCTTCAAGCTCCCAAGGCTGGGCTCGGGTTCCGGTTCTGAGAGCTTCGATCCCTGCAAACATGAGTGATCTTGTCGCTGGTTAGGAGTTACATTGGTCAGTGCACAGACAAGCCAACCCAAGAGATCTAGATGTGGTCTATGCCATTTCCCTAGCTGTCCCTAGCCTGTGCTAACGATCGTGAACCCGAGCCAGGCCTTCATCCTGGCGCTGTTGTGCCTGCTGTTCAACGAACGCTTCAGGTCCGACAAGGAGTGCTGGTGGGCATTTGTACATGAAGGGTTTTTGGAATCTGCGGGTCAATATGTGGTCCTAGACATGCATGCTTTGCGGATCCTTCTAGAGATCGATCGAGGAATACCTTTTCGTGGAGCACTATGCGGGTTCAAAACAGATGACTGGTGTGATCGAGTCTATGTACGGCGGGACAGCTGCATTAGATATCGCCTACCACCGCGCAATGAACATACTGACTCCAACGGGCTTTGCGACGGAGACTTAGAGATGACTGCATCTAGCTAGTCTGATCTGCAAGAGTTCTGATTGCAATTAATTGTGATCGTTCTGCAACATCAGGTTACACCTTCTCCCCGTGCTCCGTGGGAGTCGCTCGGGCTTCACATTGTGGCAAGGGCTACAGTGCTCCAGCTGGGTGTCCATCTGTAGGCACAGCACTAAGAGAAGCCTGTTAAATCCTTGTGGAGATGGCACTGCCCCATCTGTGGTCATGGGCAATCAACAGCTCTGCAGGACACCTCGTACGTGTTATATTAGACTGAACTTCCAAGGTTGTAGGCAAGGCTCCTCGAATGCGACAAGCCCAAGCAAGTCTTGAACCCGCCTGAATTAAGGTTTCTGCTGTCAATAGGCATAGATAGACTATGCAATCCTGGTATGCAATTTATCTACCCCGGCCCTACTAAATATGTGCCATTAGAAAAAACCTAAGCTTGATGGGGTCTTTTGGGTTTCAGGTCAGCTTCTGTTTCGGATGGACCTAGTCTAGTAACCACACGCCCTAAATGCAAAATCCCACTGCCTTATATGATAGCTATACAGCTAGGACCAGCTGTAGTTAAGCTAGTCTATACAACTTCCTTATCCCGCAACCAGCTTACATTGAAAAAAACTATTGAACCCCCTGGCTTGCAATCTGTGCCCAAAAAAGGCCGAGCTAATTATCCTCCATGATATTATCCGCCCTGTAGATGGTAGCTATAGGCTATTTGGAGGTATCATCAAGCCCTGCAATTCGACAGTAAGCTTCGATCGATCTATAGGCCGGTAGCTCAAGCCCCAGTAACAAAAGAGCTTGAACCGAACCTTAAACACCAAGCCTTCCTGGCAAAAAAAGTGTGTCCTGGAACACTGTGCCCCACAACCATCGACTTTAATCAGTTTCCATGAAACCCGAAGCCCAACCTTACATAAACATTGTCACTCCCGATAAAATTTGCATTATAAGTGCTGCTTTGACTAATACAGCATGGGGGTTGTTTCTACTACACTCGTGATGCCAGTTGTGTCGTGAGCACTAACGCCAGCTGTCCTCCTACATAGGATATATTGTTTAGCACCTGCATGGTTTATGGGTATCCTAGCTAGCCTATTCCAGGATGTTAATTGGTGTGGGTATATATATTAAATAGCCGATTAGGTGTTCGATCTATCTAATTGCAAACATGTACGGTCCCCGCAATCATACAACGACAAAGTCTTGGATCATGTGCAATTCACGCTAGGGGGGCTTATCTACGAAATGTGTGATACACTACCTCTAGCTCATCTATAGCCATATGTAAAGGCCCTGGCCTCTCTCGTCCATCGGAGAAGCAAGCTAGCTGCCTCGGGAGGACAAGTCTCATTTCACTACTGTGTGTGCCCATGCAATCCAGCTGGGTGATTGAGCAGCCTGGTTCATCTTTAATCTGGCGACACCCTCGATTCCAGTGGCTTTGCAAAACCCACAAGGCCCAAAGGGTTCAAAGGCATATGCACTGTCCAATACCGGTAGCTGCTCTTCAATTACCTGCAATCCTTTGTTCCCGAAAAGAAACCGTCCTACATGCACGCGTGTATTCTATAGGTAACTCGTGCCCCCACCCCTGGTCCGACCCCACAGGTGTTTGTCTGCAAATTCTGGATGATGCACTACGACCACAAGTGTCCGAAGCGGACAGTCCTATGGAGCTGCAGCCGGCAAGTGTTCAGGTTCGACAAGGGTAGATTGACTTCAGGCTTCAAGGCTCGTCATCGGAAGCAAGAAGGCGACGTTCGTACAGTGGTTCGCAAGATTGCTAAAGACGGCAAGATGAAATATTCAGGGAAACCTGAAGTTTTGAAGGAAACGCAGACACACGGCCACACTTCAGGAAAACTTATCCCCTGTGTGATATGCAATGTAAGTCTAGCTAGGTCGTTCGAGCTCAAGTAAAACCCGTTACAGCCCATGTCCTGTGAAACACCTAAGAACCCATGCACTTCCTAGCCGAGGATGTACACCAAAGCCTTCGCCGAGCACATGGCCGGGCTGCTACCGAGCTTCAATGAATCCCGGCCGTTCCGATGCACATCAATGCTGGATTCCTCAACGGTGGCTAAGCTTCGGGACATGCCTTGGGGTGAGGACGATTGGTCCGATGCAGGTGTTCCAGAGCTACTGAAGTATTTGTATGGCGCCAGAGGGTTGGTCATCCCTCCAGAATGGAGGGCTTGTTTCCCGACACATCTATTTGCGTAGCAGGCTGTCGCCATGCACATGCACACCGTCTTTAAACTGCATATGCATGCATACATGTCTTATAACTTAGGGCATCCTGTGTGAGCACGCAAAGCCTGCCTGTTTATGCTGGCCGTGTAGAGCCTTGGTTGCTTTGACTGTCGGAGTGCAATCCCCAGCTGCACATCCTAAGCATGCATATATCCATACTTTTCAGACCCTCATGATCTCATGTAATGCGCATGAGAATGTTGTCTGCAACTCCGGTGTTCTAGACAGCTATATAGACTAGCTGTACTTGCATCATGCATGTCTCGTATTTAAATTGGTATGCACGAACCTTGTACTGATATCATGAAAAAGCGACGCATTAGGCAGATCCTAGCTTAACTTAATTTAATTATAGAATCCTATATAGCTATATACAATGCATATCCTGCAAGTACGCTAGCTTACCTGGGGTTCAGATTCCGAGGGTTGCGGGCTTTCGGTTTGGCGGGCACGGCTTGAAGTTTGGAATGGGGTCGTGGTGCTTTTTCGATTATAACCCTAGCTGAATTAAGTTACAATATCATCCTATACCGTGGCCATGTACTGCTATAGTCAAATTTAACTTAAACCCCGCAGCCCCAAAGCCCGCAGCCAGCCCAAGTTAAACCCCGCAGCCCTGAAGCCCGCAGCTCCCAAATTTAAATCCCGCAGCACCTAGACTATATAGCCAGCAAATCCGAGGCATGAAGCCCTCAAACCCCGCAGCCCTGAAGCACGCAGCTCCCAAACCTGAAGCAAACCTGAAGCCCGCTTCCTGCGATGACGTGCACTATAAATCTTCGATCTGCCTTATAAACCCTATATATCCCATATATATATACCCTAAACCCCTATATAAACCTTAAACCCTAAATTGGGGACTGTGTGCCAACAGTCATCGCTCGACCTATGTGGTCACTTAATTCGGTACGCTGCTTCATTAAAGATATGCAGCCCTTCAGACCAAGCTGCGAGCCTGTGTGAGAACCGGTACACGCAGCAGCGGGCCTTGACAAACTCGATCGGAGTCAGGCTGTTTCTGCCCGGGTTTCTACTCAGGCGATCTATAGGGTGACTGCAAGCGATCTATATGCAGAGGGTCACAACATGCATTGATGCATCTCCATAGTTTATATTGTGCATGCATGCATGTATACGTGTATAATGTGCATCATGCATGCAGCATGATATGGGATGGACTATATGGGCTGCACATGTGCTGTTGCATGCTACAGGACACATGCAGGCCGGTCTTTCTCGTACAAATCTAGAACACACGTGCGTATGTATGTATGCATGCACGTATAACAGCTGCATGCTTTGTGGATTTAGAGGGTTCCGGGCTTGATGCAGGTTCAGCTTGATTGACTCCGCAGGGCTTTATAGCTTTCGAGGGCTGTGGCTTTTGGCTCTCGAGGGATCTAGCCTCGGATCGTGGAGTTTGCTTCCATGCAAGAGCCTAGGTTCTCTGCAGGGCATCCGACTTCAGGTTTCGATGGTTTTGGGGTTCAGGTTTGGAGGATTGCGTGCTTTGGATCTAGAGGGCGCGGCTTCAACTTATGTGGAGTCGATCGTATATAGGCGAGAAGCAGAGCTTGCGTCCTCAATTTAAAGTATTGATCGATCGATTATAATGTACTCTCTAGCTAGTGTAGCTAGACTCCAGTATGATCGACTCTCCGGACTTAATGCAATAAGCAAAGTTGAATTAACCACGCAACCCTGAAGCCCTGAGCTCCCAAACCTCAAGCCCGCAGGCCTCAAAGTTAAACCCCGCAGCCCTGAAGCCCGCAGCTCCGAAACCTGAAGCCCGCAGCCCTCGACGATAAAAGTAAAACCCGGCCTCAACCCTAAAGCCCGCAACTGCCAAACCTGAAGCTACAGCCCCAAAACCTGAAGCACGCAGCCCCGAAACCTAAAGCCAACAACCCTGAAGCCTAAAGCCCGCGGCCACCAAACTTGAAGCCCACAACCCTGAAACCTCTAAAGCCTACAACCCTGAAACCTAAAGCCCGCAGCCCCGAAACCTGAAGCCCGCAGCCCCGAAGCCTGAAATCCGCAGCCCCTAAACCTGAAGCCCGCAACCCTGAAACCTAAAGCCCACGGCCCAAAACCCTGAAACCTGAAGCCCGCAACCCTGAAACCTAAAGCCCACGGCCCAAAACCCTGAAACCTGAAGCCCGCAACCCTGAAACCCAAAGCCCGCAACTCCTAAACCTGAAGCCCGCATCCCTGAAGCCCGAAACTCCGAAAGCACCCGACAGCCCTGTAGCCTACCCGCAGGCAAGCAAATCTGAAGCCACCCAAGGCCCGCAGCCCACAGCCCTGAAACCCAAAGACAGCCGGAAAAACCCTGCAAACCTGAACCCCCTAGCCCTGAAGCCCGCAGCTCTCTAAAGATAACCTTCCAAGCTGCAGAAAGTGTAGCCGAGGAGACAAACCAAGCCTGAAATTCAGACATGGGCACGCCAAAGGCAACTTCAGGCTCAGGATCTGTCCTTTCACGCCGACTTAGTAAGAAATGCGCATTTTTGGACCCAAACACTCACTTTGCGGCACGCAAGGAGCATTTTTATGCAAGCAACAGGCACTCTTTGCGCAGCAACGTGGGCTTTTCATTTTGGGCCATTTTTGTGCACATTTTGTGCGGGAAAACACACATCTGCGCAGATTTCCGCGTAGTAGCTTGGTGCCATGGCACTCCAGAGAGACAGGCACTCTGCCTCTACGCTAGCCTCCGGCTTATCGTTCCT